CCACTGTATGTTGGCTTTCTATGTACATCCCTGCTTAACTTTTCACCTACTCTAATCATTTAAAAATCTTTGAAAAAAAGTAAATTATTGTCCTTCTCTATCTCCATTACCGACTGAACACTACAATCAATCTGGTTAATTAAGAACAAGAAATAATCTCCCTCTTCCATAAAGTGCTCCTCCATCCTTGACATGTAATTGTTCGCTAAAATGGGAGCCAACAAAATCCAATTGCCAGGCTTTGTACCTGTTCGCAAAACTTATTATTAAAGGTGAAGTATGTGCTACTCATGAATATATTAAGTAGCTTTTGCTCAGATTTGCTCTCTCAAAAATATCTGGATGTTCATCAAGGCTGTGTAGTAGTGCTTCAATTGCCTTTAGAACTGGGGTGTTAGTAAACATTCATAACATATCGAAATTAGCCAAAAGATTCTCCTCTACAATACTCAGCTGATCAATCAGTCTAACTAATTCACATGAATTCTTCACCAAATATTTCTAAAACTCAGTAAATTTTCTTAATTGTCTGCATAAGAATCGTGAAATCATATGCATTACCCTTAACTTACTAATAACACTTAAAGTGAAAGAAACTGCCTTGTCTATCGTTGGTAGGCCATTAGCTGAAGGTGCCCTAGCATCCCTTTGAAGAGGTGAATTTATTTTTATTTTCTCAATTTCTCCTTTGCTCACACAAACGTTAAGCAATACCCTAAATCTGGCCTTGATACTCTCTGCGGGATCCTTCACTAAAAGTTTGTATGTTTCTGAATCATTTAAATGGATTATCATCTTTAATATATAATTTAACCTATCCATTATGACTACTGCACAACGCTTATCTGCCTTCAGAACAAGCATATAACTTTAGTAGAAATATCTAGAGATTTTATTCGAATCATAAGATTTATTTGGGATAATTACCTGGTCAAAATGAGGAATCACTTCTTTTTCTATATTTTTCGTAGCCCCTTGTTGATTAATTTAACCAATATCTCCGTTGTGATTCAAGATTGAACCTAATCAAAGCCAGCAGTAACACAACATTTTTGGGTTGGCACACAAGCGACTATGGCATGGCAAGTCATAGACTTGGTATTAGGGATAGAGAGAGGATAGACGAGGCGTCGAGGATTTACAATAGGGGTGGTGAATGTAGCAAAGGCATGACCATGAGACTTACTCTGAGACTTTAGCCTCTAATCAATCACCCAGGTGCAGGGGATGGACGAATTACGCCTCGAATAGAATAGATGGGGGAGCAGGGGTCGAGTGAAATACATGTAGGAGGGAGATAGCAGACGGATTCTACGAGGCAAGAAAGAGACTTTGATAGGACCCAGGGAAGAACTACCTAATAATGACAGACTTTGGTCAACATTCCCAGCTCGAGGGTTAAGGGGGTGATAACGACAGTGTGTAGTGTGAATGGTTTTCATGAATTTCGCTCAAGGGAGCACACCAAACTAAATAAAAATAACCACGGTAAAAAATTTTGACAGGGGAGGCATGATAAGAGGATATAGAAAATGTAAATAGCCCAGGGCAGAGGGGGAGATACCACAACTGTTTAGTTCGCGTTTGGTCAAAGGATGGGCTTCACTTGTCTCTTTGACAAGTTGTAATATGGTGCTACCAATGGCGAGACTCACTGACGATGCCGGCAAAACTTCTGGTAATGTACCACGTCTACAGTCATAATCTGGAAATGATGATGCATACAATGGACTCTGGACTAGGTGCGTTCTTCTAAGTCTTCTTACCAATATGACCAAGTTGCGAAAACAAGGTCAAACAACTTCTAGAGAAAATGATTGTCAAGTCCTGCTTTGGTGTTAATCAGATCATGTATTTTGTCTATAGTTTACTTTAATCTATTCTTAACCAAACCACTTGAGGCCTGTTCTAGTTCCCTATTAGACGAAATAGGTAAACTTGGACGTTAATCAAGAAAAAAGCATCTGAATACTACATTATTTGAGTTACACATTTTAAAAAAGCCAAAAGTATTGACTTTCCGGGATATATATTTATTGGTTTTTGTATAGCCAGAGGAAAGTCGATATGGAGTTGTACCAAACGTAGTAAATGAGAAGGAAAGTTTGATTTCAAAGGTCTCTTGTTCCATAATCGAAAGTCGATCTCATCAGAAGACGATGTCGGATTCCTCTTGGCCAACTGTAAAATGATTTTACTGATAAATTGTTGTTGACGATGTTTCCGAGACAATCTATTTCGATTCCGGTGAAAACAGGCAAAGCTTTCGCCTGTCGTATGACGGAGGTCATTAGAATAATGTATATCCCTACAACCATATTAAAGCTAACGAGTAAGAATAAATTGCCAGCTCGTCCAAAAGCAAATTAATAGATTCAAGGATACAGAGTATATTGTCCTGACCTGTACATCAAGTGGCGGCATTGAAGAGACTTTTTTTCTACCTGGCACTCCCAGCGACTTTCGTCATTCTCTTCTTGGAGCATCGCTATCTAGTCTTGCAACACTTCCCTATGTTATTATAAATAATAAAATTTTGAAGGCTAGCAATTCTAGCACTATAGCCATGGGTGCTGTTGCTTCGCAGAGTTATTGTATGGGAGGCTTCCCGCCTCTAGCTAATGGAAGAAGTAGTGCTCTAAGTTTGAAAACCGAAGAACATATCACATCAGATTCTAAGTTAGCAAGCACTAATGCAACCGGTACTGCGACCGGTCCTTTGCTGCCTTCTAATCTTATTGACAGAACCTGTAGTGGTTCCGGATATGGGTTGCCATTATTGGTACAACTAACGATTGCCAGACAAGTGCAGCTAGAATAATGTATTACTGAAGGCCGCTTCAGCAAGGTCTGGCGAGAAACTTGGCAGAAGTGTTTGCAAAATCTTTTCTAGCCGTGATGAGCATTCGTGGCTCCGGTAATCTTGTCTCATTTCACAGGAGGGCAAAAAACTCATCAAGATAAATAGACCTGTGTTCGAACTTGAGCAAGCCGAGTGATGGTTAAAATATATAGAGGGAGTGATGATAGTGACCAAACCTTAATGGTTGAGAACAGATGTTACTTTTCCTGTTTTAACTAATCTAACCCATCACTGCTGTTTTCGTACATATGCGAACACATGCAGGAAAATATACACGCAGAGATAAACGAAGTTGAAAATGACATCTACTAACCAAATCTCATTATACCTCAACAAAGAACAAATGCATAGAGTATATATACATCATTTAGAAATGAGCCAGTGAGTTTTCTTGACTTGTTAGTTTGAATACTGTTGTAAGGATGACAATCTGCTCTGATGATGTCTGTCATACGACGGACGAAAGCTTAGCACTTTTTCATCAGAATTGAGATTCCCCCGGAAACATCTTCAACAAGAATGTTCCAGTAAATATAATCGACAGCTGGTCAAGAGGAATACGTCATCGTCTTCTGGTGGGATCAACCTTCGAATCTCTTCACCAAATACTTTTGCTTGAATTGGAGCTAAGCTAAACGTTCTAAAATTAAATTCAGGTAACTATATTGTAAAAAAGAAACAAAAATGTATTTAAAAAAGCAAATATAAACATAAACGTCATTTTTTGGCGATATATCGTGCAGAAAAATAATTATTACATAAGTAAAAGTCTATATTGATTAGTATAAATGATAGAGATACAATATTCTCAAATCAATAAGTAAGTTCTCGGTTGCTTATCTCTAGGATTAAGAATATCAAATAAAGGACGTTTCATTGATCATATAACGATAAAGCAAATTAATTTTACTAATACACTATGATATACAATTAATTAGATATCTAAATCAAGCTGGTAAAACGAGCGGGCTCGTATATATATATATATATATATATATAATGATTATCAATAGGCGCCTGCATACCTCAGCTTGAGCATCAGCAAGCCTCTGCCAGGCGTCTCCGTCTCCTTCTCCTACTATACCAGCGCCACCGTTGGTAACGCCGCTAGTAGATTTTTCCATAGACGAAAGAAGCCGACGACGCAAAACAGCCTCAGTACGTCTAGCAGCACTCAAACTAGCTTCTGCAGCACGAGCCTCGGCCTTACTCCGCGAAAGCTCGGCCATAGCGCCTGCTAACCGCTGTTCCAAATCGCTGATACGCCTAGCGGAAACCGAAAGTTGGGTCCGGCAAGCCTCCAATTCGCTAGTGTGCCTCAACTCTTGTAGCTGGATGCTGTAGTAGCGTGGTGAGCGACGATCAGGCGCGCCGTCCTCGGAATCAGCATGCACAGGACTCAACTCAGCACAAGGCGATGCGCTGCAAATTGCCTAGAAAAAAAATATCGTGCATTTACAATCAAAGAATAACAAAAATTAAGTCACAAAGAAATGTCAATATATCATAAGTAATAATATTCTCTAAGTACGTTTCTAACAAGAGCCATTCATACAGCAGTTTTAACACCCAAGAAGTAGAGATTTTCTTAAACAAACACAATTAAAAATGGCAAGTAATGCTTCAAATAAAAAGGTATTCGAATCTTCAACGAAGGCGCAAGGGGGTGCGCCGAGGATCTATTCATACAAATCTACATTCACAGCCCTAAGGCAATCCCCCTACAGCCTCCGGCGAGGCCAACTTACGAATCCCTTCCACTCGCCTCTTCAAACGAAATGAATGATACTCAAAAATCAATCAATTAAGAGATTTTTCGAAAACTATTTTTTATATATAAGCCCACTTTTGCCCTCCTATTCAGCAAGTACAAGCAACATGCCAAAAGCGAGTTGTATACGAAAACAGCCTAACCAATCAGAGCCCAATTAACCTAGGTCGCTTAACCTGATTTAATGACGTATAGTTGTACCACAATGAGATGAATGTGCTTTATAATGCCATTGAATTTAACTTAGCCTTGTCTACCAAGGCTGGACTGCAAT